CCCCCCTGCTAATTTCTGACAAGTCCCTTATCAGAAGAAAAAATTGACTAGCTTGTCCGAAGAAGAATCAACGGCCCTTGAAAACCTCGTCAAACGTTAAGAGATTATAGATGAAGCACCTGCTGATAAAGGCACCGCGGTACAAAATACTTGTTTGTTACTAACAAAATCATTTGCGGCAAGCCTCTCAGCTCTTCCGACATCTCTTTCTTTATTTATGTAAAGATTCTTTTCAGAGTCCCTTTTCCAAGAAACAATTGCCAACTCCTGCTCAAACTTTCATGACAATGACCGTCACCGTACCCTGAACTTCTGTTTTTTTGCAATGAGCTTTAAACCGAAAATTTACCTGCCATTTATCCAGACCTCCTCATTGCTTCCGCTTGTAGTTTCCCGAAAAAATTTATTGCAAGTTTCATTTTCAAGTTCGTCAAGGAAGAAAATCTTATTTTTATTGTGCATATTATTACGCTATAAATTGTTTTGAAATTACCCACAGTTCCCTTTAAACTAGAAAAGTACGTTGGTTATTTTTTTGTTAAAAGTTCTCCTTTAGTTAACCTACAATCAGACGTTTTTTTTAAGGGCTTGCGTGGATGATTATAACAGCTTTTCCGTGAAAATGGCTATCAAGATCTCAATCCCTAAACACGTTGCTTTTACCTTCACCAATGTATTTCACGACTTACTCACCGTGCTTACACCATGCAAAGCAGGCTATACCTGATGAGACCTGAAGAAGACTGGTAGCTTAAGTGTAGCCGTGCCCTTCTCCCGAGGCGGAGACTGGGAGATGGCCTCCCTGTCGGTAACGCGTTGTGGAGAATTTGTACCGGAAGTGGGTTCTCGTGTCGAGAACAGACTCCCTGTTGCATCTTTCACCCTTATAGATAGCGGCATCTAAGAGAGTAGCTGCTGAGACAAATATGTCAGCTTTAAATTTGATTATTGGGTAGAGTTTATTTGCTTCTTCAATGAACTGGCGCAAGAGAAAGATAATGTCGTCAATGTAGCGTTTCCAAACGAACGGTTTGTGAGCGCCTTCATTTAGGATTTGCATTTCGATTTTAGCCATGAAGATATTTGCAAAAGCTACCGCCATTTTGATGCCCATGGTAGTCAACATGCATAAGTTAGCTATGGGAAATTGTAAAAAGATAGTAAAAAAGGAACAAACGATAATAAAATAGTAGGAAAAGAGAGAAAACTATCATATCTAATTTCGAAAAAGAGAAAGGAAGAAAAAAACAACCGACACCAACCAAAACCGTATGAAAAAAAAAAGATAAAACAGCGGCCCAGTTACAACTTGTCTGCCAGATCCAAATCTTACTCAGAGAGAAGTTACTCGACCCCGACCCCCACTCGTTGCGCGCCCACGATTACCAGTCGACCACCTGGGATTTCCATATTATATTAGCATAAATCGTCGGTGTAAAGAGTTTTTTAAATACCAGGTTGGGGGTAAAAGTGATGAAGTTTTTTCTGACTTAGATACAATGGAACGTTTCCGGTCAAGAATAAAGGAAATGAATCATACAAAGAACTGATAGAAGCGATATAAACGAGGAATATTAGTACGTGCCGTATTGACGGACGGCCTCGTTTTCCGGGGCTCGTTAGACACAACGATTTGGACACTTTTCAAAGAAGCTATTTGCACAATTGACACATTTTTACCTCTGAAGACGCATTTATGATACATACATTTCTTTTATTTCATGCTCACTTTTCACCAGACGCAGCTTTTGTAGCCGGAACATCATTTGTTAAGTTAATCAACAGAGCCTGATTTGTGGTATTGGCCGCTGTGCTGATACTTGCAAGGAACATTTTAAATTTCCTATTCGCCCATAAAACATACCATTTAAAATATATTCATTTTGTACAAAAATTAGATCCCTTACAAAGGGACATAGATATACATTGTCCCAATGCAAACACTTTCATAAGTTTCACTGCACTGTATTAATCAATACCCTTTCCTCAGCGACAATTGGTGGCACTTACATAATATATTTAGTTCTAAATTCGTGTCCGCTTGGTATCCTCGTACTCCACTATCTTAGCAATGAAACATCAGGGGAATACTCCATCTAAAATCTAGCTGGCCTGTACATCCGTTATGCAGCTCTTTTAAATATTACTGAATTTAGGACAGAGCCTTCAAAACCTGCTGAACTATGTGAGAGGGCAGTCAACCTTTCAGCAGAACTAGATACTTTCCTATCCATTCACTTAATTGGCAACAGAAAAGTCGTACTGAGGAGGAAGAGGACATGCCCGACATGCAACTATCGCTAAATATGCATAAGTTAGATATGAAAAACTATAAAAAAAAAAAATTTGAATACATTTTTCGGACAGTTTTCAAAGAGGCTATCAAAGAGTGAATCCAACTGACTCAAGTAACCATGGACCGTGTAGACTGTAGACATCAAGCCTAATAATATAAATCATAACTGGGCAGGTGAACTAAATGCAACCATCTTTGTTATGTGTGAATAGTGTTGACCTCTCTCCTTCTCTTCTCCTTCTTCCGCCTGCACCCCGCGAGAGAGCTTGCTATCAAACCATGTATTAGTAACAAGAGTTCCGTGGTCATCCCTTTGCCCTTTACCTAATTTGAATCAAAGTTCTGGCTGATAATTCTCCCTCTTAGGAACTAGGCATTTTTTCGTAGAGTAATTAAACAAAGTTATTGTCATTTCGAGATAACATTCTCCATTCAAAAAAGTTTTTCGATCTCATCATCGCTTTGCCAGTGAATATAAACTGAAATGGTAAGGATAAATTGCATGTTGATGACCTGAGGAGGTGAAAAATAGCCTCGTCTTTTCGACTTTTTCATTTGCCCACACAACCAAGGTCGTATTCTTCTGGGATCAACGGTTTTAACCGCAGTTTTAGTTGAAGCGTTTTAAGATTCCTTATAGACATTGAGAAATGACTGGTAGCTGTGCACCCTACTTATTAAGCTTGCGAAGACGACAGCGGTCGCTACGCATGCTTTTTGAAGGAATTTGATTTTCAAGTTAATTATTTGAATTTAAAAGTAATTTTACTCCATTTGACTTTATTTTTCACATGAGTGTTTTTCTCTTTAAGCTGAATTTTCCCTCGCACTTTCCACCATAGAAACTGCTGTGATGGCAGTACCGTTGCTTCCATCTGTTACTCGGTTGCTGTTTATTCTTCCACTGATTTTAAAACAGACTGAGAGCATGATTCTGAGGTAACCGTTGCGGTAATTCTTGTTGCTCAACCCATATATGAACGGATTCACACAGCTGTTGACAAATACCAAAATTGAGAGACCATGGTGCAGTTCGCTATCCAGTCGTGCTTTTCCAGCCATTGCCAGCGCGTAGTTGATTTGATTTGGCGCGTAGCACACAATGAGCATGAAGCAGGCGGCGCCGACCATCCGCGTCATTTTCCCGCGCAATTTAGCTTTGCTTTCAGCTGAGGCGACTGTAGACCTGCCTGCCTTGTAAACCATGTGAAGGAACAGACACAACATGGTCAGGCATGGGAGCACCATTTTGAACAGGACTTGAATGATTGCAACAATACTGCGCACTTGTTGTTTACCCCAGAACAATTTCCATTTGCAGCGGCGATTCAATGGCTCCGTGGGAACATACGCAACTTCGAACAGAGATGTGCCACAGAGGAGAAATGACCACAGCCACACGAGGGAGATGTAAACGAGCGTTCGCTTCTTGTTAAAGATCTCTTTGTACTTATATGGTCTGACCACTGCATACCACCGCTCAGTTGCCAAAGCCATACAGATGTAGGCGGAGAAAACCACCAGCTGGAACAGAATCGTACGACTCCACAATACACGGCAGAAGATGTCGCCAATGATGTGATTTGTTGGATAAGGAAACGCGTCACCAAGGACAAAAGCTGGGTTTGTGCTGAGCAGCAGAGCAGTGAGAACATCAGATATGGCCAAAGACAGAATTAATATGTTGTAGGATTTTTTTAGTAGATCCTTGTTCCCCACAAAGACGAGAATAACCAAGATGTTCCCAATTATAGCGACGACGGACAGAATAGAGTATGTTGTCCGTGTGAACGTGGTTATTCCAGGAGGAGGTTGAGGGCTTAGTGAAGGCGTTGATTCGTTGGAGACGTTCATAATTACCATATGGGTGTCAGCGTCTGAATGAAGTGTCTTATTTGATGCCTTAAAATTATCTGTTCTTCGGTGCTAGCATGGATTACTCTGTTAGTTTGCGTAAGAACACATAAAAAAAGTATTAATCCTAGCATTCACTTCAAACCTGCCCAAGATTGCCAGCTGTAACAGGCTTGAGATGTTCTGCAACAAATTTGAAAAAGAATTTGGGAGCAATGAGCTATTTCTCTCGATGTGAAACTTAAAAGAGACCCGAACAGAAAAATGTGTTGCACAGTTCGTCAGATGAGAGGTTTGCCATTGAACGTTACTTTGAAAGAGGATTTCGTTATGATACTATTGCTTAGTTTTTAGAAAAAAGGGATGAAGGGCCTTCGGTTTCACGTTTAATCATAACCATTACAATTTCCTCAAATGTGATTGGTGCATCAGCTGCTTTACATTTCACTGATCACTCTGTACAATTGTAATCGGACAGTTGGCCATAATCGGACACCTTTAATCGGACGGTTAAAGCAGCCAATCATACTAAGTCCACTCACTAGTTAAATCCACCGCTTTGCGGTCGTCCGATTTTGTTAATCACTCGAAGGATTACAGACCGAATTGGACTCCACTCGGTCCTATTACCATTATTAATTATCTCCCGAACTTCGTGCTCTGAATGGACTTCATTTCTCCTCAGTCTCAACCCAAACTCACACAACCTTCTCTTTAGAGTCCTCAAGTTCATAGAAATACCATGGTATTTTTCTAAAAACTGAACAATACATCGACGTCAGAATAGCTCATTGCTCATAAACTATTTTCCACATTTGTGGCAGAACATCCCAATGCACTTGGTACAGTTTAGTCTGTTCGCGTAGTGACTCCAGGTCGACCTAGTGTAACCTGGTGCGACACGATGTGCTGTATCTTGACAAAGTGCTGACTACTGGCGCAAGTGTCACGTTACAAAATATTTTTCTCGATTTGCAAAAATTTTCTGATTTTGGAAAGATTCTTGGATTGTAAACTATTTTCGATTTTCATGAAACTTTCTTGTGGATCTATGAATTAAGCCAGGATTTGAAATTGATTTCTCGATTTGAGAAACTTTTCAAAAGCGATTTGTCTAAAAGATATCGATTCTAAATATTTTTTCGGATTTTCAAAATATTTTTGGATCGTCCCTTTTCGGCTTCCCTTCTTTGTAAATTTATATCATATTAAGGACTCAGTCGTGTAGTAGTCGTAGTTGCTGTTGACGGGAGTGACCGAAAATTTGGAAAGCTTTACGGAGAGAGAGTTACTGTGGAAGATTATTCATTTTGAGTAGATTGGAGACAATTGTGAGATTGTTTCAGTGGTGAGCCAAGTCATGAATTGCGGTGCGCTTAAGTAACTTTATCAAGGATAACTACTGTATTGCCTTTAGGAGTCGCTCTTTAGTAACAACATTACGACTTGTTTAATAAAGTGGTTAAATTTAAAGGATTGTGGTGTTTTCTCTATCGGTTGAATTATACCGTAACAGATGTCTATAGCTGGTTTCTTTTCTTCTTCTTCAATATGTCACTGTAATCTGCCCTTTGCCGAAATAACTTCTGTTTTAGCCGCTGTTGAAACTTTTGATCGACAAAGGAATGAAGCTTTATGGAATTGTTTAAGCTTGACTGACTATGAGAAGTTTAAAATCTAGGATGATTTGGCCAAAAAGTCCGAATAACAAAACTGACGAAACCCTATGTTTCACTATGTCATGTGCCGAAAAGATATTTTACCACTTTCTCACTTCTAAGTTGGCAATATTATCCTCTGAGCTAGAAATACTCTAAATCAACTTAGCTTGGCAAGCTTTTATTATATTTCACCAAGACTGGCTTCAAACCTTCCGGCCATTAATGGTAATTATTTGAGTCCGAGGGCGGCACTCGAGACCGAGAGCACAGTTTCTCCCAATACGGACCTCCCGGCTAGCGAATAAAATACATATATCCCTGAATTTTCAGGGAAGCTGCGTTGACTGACAGTTTCTCGGGCTTTTCATTTTACATCAGTAATTCACTCAGTACTCACCAGCGATGTTGCTCATCTATGTTCCACGACATTGGATCAGTTCTAACCAGCGACTGCAGTGGTATGGTTTTCGTTGCCGTTTTTATTGCAGA